GCGCTGGCCTCGGTCGTGACGACTCCGCCCCGCCGGCGGTGGTCAGCAGCAGGTCGGCGAGCACCCTGAGCGCGGTTGACTTGGATACCCCCGCTAAAGGAGCGAAGGCGCTCCCCGCGCGCAAGGCCGGGGCCGCCGCTGGCGGTGGGAGGGGCAACGCCGGCCCGAAGAGAATGGCGAAGGCCCGTTTGGGGAAGGCGGCAGGCGCCCCGGCCCCGGAGTTGCCTGACAGTCCGGTCTTGAGCATCAACAGTACCCCCCACGAAGTCTGAGCAAGACGGCCGCCTGGACGTTGCCGAGATTCTTCGAGGGTGGAGCGCCGGCCGATCTGTCAAAGGCATCGAGAGGCGGGGGCAGAAGCTCCGGGCCAGCAATGAGATCACCGAGGCCGACGACGCGGAGACGCACATCGCCGTGTGCAGGGCGGCCACTGCTTTGCAGGTCGAGCATTTGAAAAGAGCCGAGTTGTCCGAGGCGGTGAAAAACGCGCAGTTGCTCAGCCTCAACGGCGTTCCGTTGTTCCGCCACCTGCAGCAGTTGATCTCTAAGAAGTACGCCCAGCAGCAGTTAGACGAGGGGAATTTGGAGAACTGGGCCTTGACGGCTCGCTTGGCGCTTCCCGCTGATGCGGCGGAGGAGCCCCGGGACCCGGCGAGGCCGACTTGGGCCGCGTGCGCCGGCATCGACGACGACGCCCGCGAATCGGACATGGTGGAGTGCTGGCTCGGCATTGTTTTTCGCGACAACTTCCTGCGCCTCCTGACGGGCGCAGATTCTGGCGAGGGGCATCCGTCGCGCGCCAAGTATCAGACCCGCTTGCGCACCGAGTTCTTGGACAGCGTGTACTCGTCTCCCGCGGGGGATGGCCAGATGCACTCCTCCGAGGTCTCGGCGGTCGCCATGGAGGGCGCCGGGAAGATCTGCCGCGGGTTCCTGGGGTTGTTCAGCGCCTGCCCCGCGAAATTCGACGTCAAGCTCGCGGATGCGAAATACTTGTGCCCGGACCATAAAGGCAGCGCCAGCGCCATTGCCACGGAAGTGCCACGTTTAGGCCACCTGTTCTCGAACCGCGGGCACTCGTCCAAGTTCCTCCACCACCGCCGGCACCGGCACCAGTGCCAACACCACCACCACCAGCACCCACCGCCACCACCAGCACCACCACCACCACCATCACCATCACCACCACCACCACCACCACCAGCACCAGCACCAGTACCAACACCACCATCACCAGCACCACCACCACCACCACCAGCACAACCACCACCATCACCACCACCACCACCACCACCACCACTACCACCACCACCACCACCACCACCACCACGACAACCACGCACGTGCACCACCACCCACTACGCACGCGCGCGCGGAGCCACAGGTCCGCTACGACACGCGTCCGCGGATAGAGAAAATCAGCACCATGGTAAGGGATGAGAGGGAGGGGTAGGACGTCAGATATGACGCGAGCGCACCTAGCTTGTCTTCCTCCCCTCCCCCTCCTCCTCCTGCTCCTCCTCCTCCTCCTGCTGCTCCTCCTCCTCCTCCTCCACCTCCGCCACCTCCTCCTCCTCCTCCTCCTCCTGGGCGGATGCCATCGCGTCGTGCTACCTTGAGTTGGCAGGCGCCGGGTGGGCGCTGGCGTGTCGCACCTGTCTGGGTGGACGTTGGTGTGTCGCACGGGGGGCGTTCTAGGAAACTTCGGCGGCTTCTCCGTTGCTTTTTTTTTCTTGTCTCCTTTTTCTTTCCTCCTTAATACTCTCCTCCTACTCCTTCCCCTCCTCCTTCCCCCCCCCCCCCCCCTCCTCATTCCCTCTTCGTTCCTCCTCATTCCTCCTCCTCTTCCTCCTCCTTGCTCCTCCTCCGCCCCATCCCCATCCGCTTCGACCCGCTCGCCCCCTCCTCCCCATCCTCCTCCTCTTCACCTCATTCCTCCTCCCCCTTTCTTCTCCTTCTCCTCCTCCTTCCCCTCTCCTCCTTCCTCCCCTCTCCTCCCTCCTCGCGACTTTCCTCTCCTCTCCTCCTTCCCCTCCAATTTCCTCTCCACCTCCTCCTCCTTCCCCTCCTCCTCCCCCTCTTCTCTCCTCCTCGTCCTCTTTACTCTGACTCCGCACCTACCTCCTCCTACTCCTCCCCCTCCCTCCCCTCTCCTACTCATCTTCCTTCATCCCCTCCCTCCTCAGCCTCTCTCATCCTCATCCTCCTCCAACATCTACCTCCTTCACCTCCCTGTCCTTCTCTCCTCCTAAGTGCCATCTGCGCTGAAGCCCCCTCCTCCTCGTCCTGTTCCACGTCCTCCTCCTCCGCCCCCCCCTCCTCCACCTCCGCCACCTCCTCCTCCTCCTCCTCCTCCTCCTCCTGCTCCTGGGCGGATGCCATCGCGTCGTGCCCCTTTGAGTTGGCAGGCGCCGGGAAGGCGCTGGCGTGTCGCACCTGTCTGGGCGGACGTTGGTGTGTCGCGCGGGGGGCGTTATGGCCTTCGGGGGTCCTCTCCTCCTCCTCCTTCTCCTCCTCCTGTTCCTCCTCCACCTCCTCCTCCTCCCCATCCTCCTCGGCGGATGCCATCGCGATCTGCCCCTTTGGACTGGCAGGCGCCGGGCGGGCGCTGGCGTGTCGCGCCTGTCTGGGTGGACGTTGGTGTGTCGCACGGGGGGGCGTTTTAGCCTTCGGGGGCCCTCTCCTCCTCCTCCTCCTCCTCCTTCTCCTGCTTTCCCTCCTCCCTTCTTCCCCAGCTCCTCTCCTCCTCCATATCCTCCTTCTTCCTCATCGCCCTTCCCCCCCCTCTCCTCGCCCCACTTCACCCCCTCCTACCATCTTATTTTTTCTCCCTCCTCCTCCTCCTCCTTCCGCTCCTTCCTCCTCCTCCTTCCGCTTCCCCGCTTTTCCTCCTCCTTCCTCCCTCACCCCCCCCCTCCCCCTCATCTCTTCTCCTCCTCCTCCTCTCCTCATCCTCATACCCCTCCTCGCCTGCTCCTCCTCCTCCTCCCCTATCCTCCTACTCTCCTACCTCTCCTCTCCCTCCCTCCTCCTCCCCTCCTCCTCCCCCCCCCTCCTTTCTCCTCTTCCTCCTCCTCCTCTCCTCCTCCCTCTCATTCTCCTCCTCACCCCCTTCATTACCCCGTCTTCCTTTTCTCCCTCCTCCTCCTGCTCCTCCTCCATTGCCCCGGGTTCCCCTCTCGCTGACCTCGTTTTTCTTCCACCTGCTTCGCTTCTTCCCCCCTCTTCCGCCTTCTCTTTTTCCGCCTCCGGCCCCCCCTCCTCCTCTTTCCCCCCCCTCGCCCCCTCGGTCTTCATTCTCCTACGTTTCCTCTGGAGAGTCTCGACGAGGCCATGGCTTGGGAGGCCCAGGTTGTCCAGGGCCGTGCGCAGGATTCCTTGGGGAAGTATATGGCTCAGCCGTTCAACGTGCGATTGGACCAAGTCTGCAGCGCCATCATGGCGGACGCCGCGGCGCCCGCCGAACATAAGGTCACCTTGGTGAAGGTGTGTGCGAGGATATCGTGCGCAACGCGGCTATGGATGCAGTGGAAGGCGGTGCCCCCGGTACTTTTTTGAAGATCGCTGTCGATGCCCAGCTCGTGCCGGACGCCAGGCTCTTTCACGTGCTTGCCAGCGCCGTGCAGGGCGTGGCGAAGGCCATCGCCGACGTCACAGGGGCTGCCAGCGACAGCTCGGCAGCAGACAAACGCGAACTGGCGGTGGCTCTGGTGAAAGCTTGCGCCCACGCGGGCACGGTGTTCGGGAAAGCCAACGCGTGCCGGGACGCAGATGCCCGCGACAACTACGACCGTCTTCTGGCCGCGGGCAATAAGGACATAGAGGTGTGCGCCGGCATCTTGCAAGAGCGTCTCGGGGATCCGATGGGACCTCCATCGATGCTCTGGCCAAGGTGGGCGTCTTGGCGCAGATCGCCGGGGGCGGCGCAGGTGGGTCGTCGTGGTTCCACGAGAAGCCCCAGGACGTAGACATTTTGTCTTGGTTCGAATCAACCTTGAAGGTAGCCAACGGGGCACAGATCGAAAGCCATTGCGAGAAGACGAAGGCTGCCCTCGGGAAGGTCAGGGCCGACGAGAAGTTCCTGCAGCGCGTGGCGCCGGCGGTCTCCATCGACGCGCTGGCCGCGGGGGGGCCGCTCGGTGACTTGCCCCAGATCTTGAGGGGCGCGAAGGCCGCCATCGACCGGGCCGTCACCACGAAGTACGAGTGCCTCATCGGTTTGGCCCTGCTGCGCCCCAGCTCGACTAAGCTCCGGAGCAGGGTGGAGGGTTTCGCAGCCCAGCTTGTCGAGGAGCTAAAGGTGCGCGGGGCGAGGCCAACGCATAAGACACCAGGATGTCCACGTGGCCCCGAGACCCCAAGAGAGCCCCGAATTGATCCAGAGGAATTCATAGGCGCCCCAAGCTCCCCAAGAGGCTTCAGGAGAAGTTCCCCGGACTCCAGAGCAACGCGAAGCGCCCCGGTTTTGAGGAGGCCCAAGATGCCTTTCAGGAACTTCCCGGCGGGCTCCCCAGAGGGCCCCCGAGGTTCCTGTTACGGCGGCCCCCCGGTTGCCGACGCGGGGGGGGGCGCGAAGCGCAAGGAAGTGGTGCTGGGGGCGCGTCGCACCCCTGCGGGGTGGCTGGCGCCGGGTGGACGCCGGCGTGCCGCATTTATCTGGGTGGGCGTTGGTGCGTCGCATTGGGCGCGTTCTGGCTTTCGGGTGCTCTCGTCGCAGCGGCTTGGCGCAGCTCTGGCGTTCGAGTCGGCGCAGCTGGACTCAGCGCGCGCGGAAACGGGGCGGGCGAGAAGGAATGGGAGGAGGAGGGGGGGGGCGAGGGGGGGGGGGAAGAGGGGGGGAAAGAGGCGGGGGAGGAGGAGGAACAGGAAGGGGGGGGGGAAAAAGGGGGAGGAGGGGGGGGGGGGGCGGGGGTGGAATGCCCTGGGCGGGCGCCATAGCGTCGTGCTCCTTTGGGTTGGCAAGCGCCGGGTGGTCGCCGGCGCGTCGCGCCTATCATGGGTGGACGTTGGTGCGTCGCGCGGGGGGCGTTCTAGCCTTCGGGGGCCCTCGTCGCCCCAGCTTGGCGAAGCTCTGTCTCTGGGGGTCGGCGCGGCTGGGCGCAACGCGCGAGGGGGGTGAAGGAGAGGGCGGGCGGGGGGGGCGGCAGGGAGGGGGATAACAAGGAGGAGGGGGGGGGGGGGGGGGCAGGGGGAGGGGGGGGGGCCCGAGGAGGACGGGGGGGGCGGACGAGGGGGAATAATTTGCAACAGGGGGATGAGGACGAGGCGAGGGAGGAGAGGGGCGAAGAGGAGATGGGCGGGAGGAGGGCGAGGACCAGGGGGAGGACAAGGATGAACAAGAAAAAGAGGGGGGACGGGGGGGGGAGGAGGAGCAGGAGGAGGAGCAGGAACGACAGTCCAGAGCTGGATGAGGTGGAAGAGGGGGGGGGGGAGAGGGGTTGGAGGGCTTGCCGCGCGAGAGCGGTGGTTAACCGAGCTTGATGTAGGTCCCTTGGGAATCCGCGCTGCAGTCCGGCTTGAAGGCCAAGGTTGATGATGTCCTGAAGTCATGAGGGGTTCGCGCGTGCGGGGGCGCCGCGCAGTCTCAGCGCGCTCATGGGTGGGCGTGTGCGGGGGCGCCGCGCGAGCTCAGCGAGCGCCGCGGGCGCGCGCGACTTTGCCGCCGAGGGGCGGTTCCATCCCCGGGGGGGGGGCTTCCAGCCAGGGACTTTGGGGTTTATCATGAGGCGCCTGGGGGGTTCGCATTGGCGAATGCCACAGTGCCTTTTCTCCCCTTCTCCCTTTTTGTTCGGCCATGGCCCCGTCATTCTCATCCGCGTTCGCGAGGGCGCTACGCATTTGACCGCGCGCCTCCTTCGGCCAGGCGACGCCTCGATAGTTCGTCGTTCCGGATCCTCGTCGCGGCCACTTGGGGGCTTCGTCGGGGGCCCGGCACTCCACAGCGCCACGTTTCGTTGGGGAGGGGCGCTTGCTGCGGGGCCACCGCCCTTCAAGGCCCCGATCCTCCACCCTGAGTCCTCCCCAAAGCCCCTCCGTTCAATTTCTGCATCCACGTTCAATGAATTTCCCTCGTCGAGGTCCCTCTCTTTCTGCAGAGGCCAGGCGGCTGCGCGGCCGTCGTCGAGCGTTCTCGTGGACGCAGCAAGCTTGCTGCGGCAGGATCTCACCGCTGCGCAGGAAAACTGCACATCCCCATCCTCCTCCTCCTCCTTGGTCCCCCTCCTCCTCCTCCTCCTCCTCCTCCTCCTTCTCCCCCGTCTGTTCTCCCAGTCCGATTCCTCTCCCTCCCTCCCCCCCCTCGTCGTCGTTGTGGTTCTCCTCCTCCTCCTCCTCCTCCTCCTCCTCCTCTTGTTTTTCCTCCTTCCCCTCCTCCTCCCCCTCCTCCACCCACTTGTTATTCTTCTCCACCAGCTCCTCCATCTCTCTCCTTTCCTCCTCATCCTCCTCCTTTTCCTCCTCCTTCTGTTGCCTTCGTTCAATCGTGATTCGCTTTGCGATGTTACGCGCCTTTTCCGGCAGGAGTTCGTTATCCCCCGCCATTTGCGCTGCTGCTGCTGTGTATTTTCCCTTCCCTGTTTTGCCGTCGTGGCGCCGCCGCCGCTGCCGTCGCACGTGAGGGCTCCGATATATTTGCGATTCTGCAAGAGCATACCGCGGCGGCTTTTCGCATATTTCATACAACTTGTTGTCATTTCTTCTTGCAATTAAGCTGTTTCCTGGATTCTGAGGCTGCCCATTAGTAGCTGCCTTGCAACCCGGGAGGATTTCGACGCGCGCGTGCGCGGCCGACGGCGCCAGCGACCACCCATGTCATTTTCGGACATGGGTCGCGCCGACCGCCCCCTGGCCGCAAGCGCGCAGGGGCGCTCGAACAATTCAGGCATGCGCGCGCGAAAAGCTCGCCCGTTCGCATTTGGTGATCGCGCTGGGAAGGAAGCGGTCGGCTTTCAATTCGCGGGCGCGCGCAGATTTGTTTGGGCACCCGTGGGAGAAGGCAAATGTGCGCAACGTCAATCCCGTTTTCTTTGCGACGCTAGCTGCCCTCGAGGATCTGCGGCGCACGCGCGCGACGACGCGCGCGAGACGACGTGGGCCCGTCTGCTGCGATGCATCATATATCCATACACGTACATATATATATATATATATATATATATATATATACATATCGATGTGTCTGTGTGTGAAAACGTACGATTTGTGATGTTTGCGTGCGCGCGCAAAGTTTTATTTGGCAGGGCTGACGGGGGGGGAACCGCGGCGCTCCGCGGGGTGCCATGAATTAGTGCGGGGCAGACTCGCAGGTAAATCGCACCATCCCAGGGAGGGTGGATAATTCCATCGGGGGGTGCTGGATCATATTATTTAGCCGCGAAGTTGTTGCGCGCCAGATACGCCGCGCAATCAATGGAATACATACTGGGTGGCGCAGCGCGCGCGATAAAACCTGAAGCGGCGTAAGCGGCGCAAAGCATTGCACAGGTTTGCGAATCAATGCAAATCAAATTCGCGCAGATCAATTCAACGCGACGCATTGCGAAACAACGCGCAGCAATTCAAAACAACATTACGCTACCGAGGAGGCCCACATATTTACCAGGCGCTTTGCGCGATGGTGGCTGACGCGAAACTTGCGAGCACATTGACGGTGGCCATCGCTTCGCCAACGTCGAAGCCGGCGCGGTTCAAGCATTGGAGGCCTGGCCAACCGCGCCAACAGAAACGATTACAACGCCAAACGGAAACTGAGGTTCTCGAACGTCTAAAGTCGAGAGAGTACCACGCATGCCAGGCCCTGCGACATTGGCGCGTCTGGAGACCGCGGTGAGGGACCCCCTTCTGCGCACCCTTCTGGCGTCGAGAGAGCGCCACGCCTGCTAGGCCCTGCCTGCATTGGCATGCGTAGGGAAACCCCCTGCGCACCCCCGCTGGCGTCGAGGAAGTGCCACGCCTGCTAGGCCCTGCGACATTGGCGCGTATAGAAACCGCAGTGAGAGACACCCCTTGCGCACCCCCGGTGACGTCGAGAGAGCGCCACGCCTGCCAGGCCCTGCGACATTGGCGCGCACAGAGACCGCGGTGAAAAACCACCCCCCGCGCGCCCCCCCTGGTGTCGAGAGGGCGTCACGCCTGTCAGGCCCTGCCTACATTGGAGCGCGTAGAGACACCCCTTGCGCACCCCCAGTGACGTCGACAAAGTGCCACGCCTGCCAGGCCCTGCGAAATTGTCACGTATAGAGACCGCGTTGAGAGACCACCCTTTGCGCACCCCCTTTGCCAGCGAGAGAGTGCCACGCCTGTCAAGCCTTGCGGCATTGGCGCGTATTGAGACCACGATGAGAGACCGCCCCCTGCGGCCGCCCCCTGACGCCTAGAAAGTGCCACGCCTGCCAGGCCCTGCGACATTGGCGCGTGTAGAGACCGCGGTGACAGACCACCCCGTGCGTACCCCCTTCTAACGCCGAGGAAGTGCCACCCCTGCTAGGCCCTGCCTGCATTGGCGCGTGTAGAGGCCGCGGTGAGAGACCACCCTCTGCGCACCTCTTTTTGGCGTCGAGAGAGTGCCACGTCTGTTAGGCCCTGAGACACTGGCGCGTATAGAGACAGCGGTGAGAGACCCCCCTTTGCGGCCCCCCTTTGACGCCGAGAAAGTGCCACGTTTGCTAGGCCCTGCCGTGCGACACTGGCGCGTATAGAGACCACGGTGAGAGACCGCCTTTGCGCACCCGTTCCTGGTGCCGAGAGAATGCTACGCCTGCTAGGCCCTGCCTGCATTGGCGCGTCTAGAGGCCGCGGTGGGAGACCGCCCCCTGCGGCCGCCCCCTGACGCCGAGAAAGTGCCACGCCTGCCAGGCCCTGCGACATTGGCGCGTGTAGAGACCGCGGTGACAGACCACCCCGTGCGTACCCCCTTCTAACGCTGGGAAAGTGCCACCCCTGCTAGGCCCTGCCTGCATTGGCGCGTATGGAGGCCGCGGTGAAAAACCGCCCCTGCGGCCGCCCCCTGACGCCGAGAAAACGCCACGCCTGCCCGGCCCTGCGACATTGGCGCGTAGCGGTGAAAGACCACCCCTTGCGCACCCCCTCTGGTGTCGAGAGAGTGCCACGCCTGCTAGGCCATGTGACACTGGCGCGTATAGAAGCCGCGTTGGCAGACCGCCCGCTGGACACCCCCTTGTGGTGTCGAGGAAGTGCCACGCCGGCCACGCTTTGCGAGCCCGAAGCGGACAAAGAGACCACCCCCAGCGCACCCCTTGTGGTGTCAAAAAGTGCCACGTTGGCCACGCAGGTTTTGTAAGTGCGAGCGAGACGGAGAAGGAAAATAGTGGGGGGGAGGAGGAGGAGGAGGAGGAGGACGAAAACGAGGACGAGGACGAGGACGAGGACGAGGACAAGGACGAGGAGAAAAAGGAACGCGGGTGCGACGCGGCAGGGGAGAAAACCGTAACCCCGCGAAACATGCGGGGGAACAGTGCAGCGCAAGGCAAAATAGTGAAACAACATGCAACACACCGCCACACGAAGGAACGCAACATAACGCAAGCCGACGCAAACTAAGGACGCACAATGCAAACCAATTCAAAGCAACGCCATGCAACGCAAGGCGAACCGACGCAGCGCAGCACAACTCAAGGCACAGAACATACCAAAGGACTTCAACGCAATGCAAATCAATATGGAGCAAGGCAGAGCAACGCATTGAAAACAGTGCAAACTGATGTGAAGAAGAGGCGAAGCAACGTAGAGTAAAGCAGCGCACATCGATGCAACACGATGCAAATTAACTCAAATCACTGCCTGGCAATCCCATACAACGCGGCGTAACACAACATAACGTAATGCAACGCAACGCAACGCAAAACATTGCAACATTGCAATGTAATCCAGTGCGAATCGATGCAGAGCAGCGCATAACCCTGCAATTGAACATTATGCCAAGCAGTGCAAACCAACGTTGAGCAGTGCAAAGCAACGCGAAGCCAGGCGAAGCGACGCTCTGCGGTGCACTCTGAACGACGGCGACGCGGCGACGCGGCGGCGACGGCGGCGACGAAGCTGTCAGACTCGCCGTCAGGCCCAGACGACGGGCGGCGACGGGGCAGCGACGACGGCGACGTAGCCGCCAGACCGGCCGTCCGACCCGGACGACGGCCGGCGACGGCGGCGACATAGGAGGAGGAACAGGAGGAAGGGGAGGAGGAGGAGGAACAGGAGGAACAGGAGGAGGAGGAGGAGGAGGAGGAGGAGGAGGATGTCAGACCGGTCCAGGCCCAGACGACGCGCGGCGACGGGGCGGCGGCGGCGGCGGCGTGGCCGTCAGACGTCGGCCGTCCGGCCCGGACGACGGGCGGCGACAGGACCGACCGTCTGGCTCACCGCCTCGGCAAAAAGGCAGGAGCCCTCGAGTTCGATGCTCGTTTCGGGGACCTTCCTGGAACCCACCTAACGGATCTGTTCGACCCCAGTTCGACTCCAGTTCGACTCAAGTTCGACTCAAGTTCGACTCAGGTTCGACTCAGGTTCGACTCAGGGTCGACCCAACTCGACCGACGTTCGACGCAGCTTCGACGCAGAGCCACTCCTGGGGAAGTTCGGGGCCCTCCCAGGGCTTTCCTTCGGGCACCAGTGCAAACCCGGAGTTTCTTTCGGGGCTTTCCTAGGGTTTCTCTCAGGGCTGAGCCTGGACACGGGCCAAAACAAAAAAAACACCATCTTGCAGACAACATGCAGGCCACACGGCTAGAGGGACCAGAGACAGAAACACGACAAGAGACAGATGACATGATGCACTGGCAAGAAACCATCCCAGCAGGGCGTTTCATAACCGCGCGCGGGCGATAAGGAAGTACCCCCCCTTTCCTCCTCTATTTTGTTCCCCGTCCAATAGGATTGAAGTGTGGAGAAGGGCGCGGAGACGGATCTTTATAGTCCACGGGAAAGTTGCGGGGATCGAAGTTGCTATCATATCGTGTTGACTAGCAACGGCATCAAAAACGCTGAGCATGGCCATGGTAGCCTCACCACACCAGTTTCCGCAATCACGAGCGTGTGGCAGGGCTGTGGGGTTCTCACCAGTTCAGTTTGCCCACGTTACGAACGCGCGGCAAGGCCAGGGGATTCTCTGTTTCTTCGCCTTTCCCGAGTCAGGAACGTGTGGCAGGGCCATAGGGACCAATTGGATTTTGATTGCGCATGCCTTTTTCGAGCAGGCAGAGCATTGGAGTTAAGTGACTTACCTTTTGAGCGCACCCCTCACAGGGTTCGTGGCCTTTCTTCATCTTTTTCCTCCTCCTCCTCCTCCTCCTCCTCCTCCTCCTCTGCCCCCGCAGTTGCTCATGCCCAAGCTTCCCTGAGTCTCCGAGACTCCAAGTTTTCGAGCCTCTTCGAGGCGCCGAGCCTCTCCCCCCCAAGCGCAGCAATACGGGGGATAGGCATGCCGAGCCTGCCCAGGAACGTGCGGATTCACGTTCACGTTCGGGCGCGCATCGCCGATACAGTCAGTCTTGTGCCGAGCGCTTGCTGGCAAAAAGCATTGCCACGAACCTCGAGATCTCTCGTGTCAGCTCTGTGCGGAGCGCCCAGGATCACTATCATCATCACCGTCGTCATCATCATCATAACATACCGTACCTGGGGACATCGTTGATTAATCCCGCCACAACCCCGAACTTTATTATCCCCGGTGGATTATTATCGCCCGCGCTCGGTAAGCCTGGCGTCCCTAGAAAGGGTCGGCGGCCATGCCGATCGATTTCGTGACCAGTCATACCCGCGGCTATGCGTTTGTAAACTTGACCAGTCCAATTCACGTGGAGCCTTTCTTCGAGACGTTCGTCGATTTCTCCGACTGGCAGTGCCAGGTCTGCAGGATGAAATGCCATGTGCAATGGAGCGAAGTACAAACCTTACAGTCCAACATCCTCCGCTACAAGGACAGCACCATCATGCTCCCATCTGTACCCGATGCGTACAAACCCATCGTGTTGAAGGATGGCGTGCGCATCCCGTTTCCGCAGCTCTTCAGCAATTCTAGGACCAAGAAGGGTTGGCGAAGGACGACGAACATCGCATGTTGTGCAACAGGAGACCGCCTCATATGAACGCATCAGTCATTTCCATCACGAAATTCTCGTCCCATTCTGCCTCATTCGCCTTTTCATTGGCGTGTGTTTTCTCTTTGTCTTCCTTCTCTTTCTCATTGTTTTCCGATCGCGGTACGTCCACTGGGCGCGTCTCAGCTGGCGCACCGGGAGCAAGCCACCTCCTTGGTTGCTTCGGTTGCGCCGTGCTCCCCTAGGTAACGACAGCACCAAATGGCTTCGTAGCCATCACTCGCTGGCCAGGTGCCAGCTAGCTTTTACTTGCGAGCTTGCCTCGACAGGGTCTTGTCGGCATTAACTTGCCTTGATGGGACGTGGTTTTGAATCCTCTGTGCCATAACGCGCGTTGTGCCCCCCCCCTCTCCCTCCCCCCCTCCCTCCCCCCCTCCCCCTTCCCGCCCCCCTCCCGTAGTGCGCCTCCGGCCTTGTCATTGTGATGTTCGAAGGCTACTGTGGCCCGTGCTCGCAGACATGGTGCTGCGCTCGCAGGCTCTTGTCGCACACGCAGGGTGCAGCAGTTTTTGCGCACGCGCGCGGTGTTCACTCCGTACCCAGGTGCTGGCAGGGCCGCGAGAGTCGTGGTAGTGGCATGGGTAGCAGAAGTAGTGGCAACAGCCGCAGCAATAGAGACGATATCAGGAGGAGGAGGAGGAGAAGAAGACGGAGTTTGAAGGGAAACGGGGTGTCCTTGTAATCGTCGCCGTGGTTCTCTTGTGGTCGATGTGATCGTGGTTGCGTTTCTCGTAATAGGTGTCGTCGTCGCCGTCGAAATCGCGGTCGTCGCAAGTGCAGCCACTTGCTCACAGGCGCGCCGCGATGCTCGCAAGGTATGGGGGTGCCGACAGAATGCAACCGTGTCTCGCAGTTGTTCGCCCGTGTCGTGCGATGCAAGCGCCATTGTTGCCCGCCCTTTCTTTCGGGCCAAAGGGCGCCCAGACTCTGCGCAGAACCCATTGGCACAACAGAGGTGTAATCAACGCAGGCGTTGTGGTGTCCGCAAGCGCTGTGGTGCACCAGCGCGTTGCGGCGTGCGCAGGCGATGTGGTGAAAGCGGCTGCTGTGGTGCACGCAGGGGCCGCGGTGCACGCAAGCACTGTGGTGCACGTGTGCAGCATGCATCTGAAACAGGCAGTGCAAACAGGCAGTTTGTGTTATGTTTCGGTTTTGGAGGCGGTAGAAGCAGAGTACTGTAGCACGCTTTATTGTGCAACGTAGATGCAACACAACGGCAACAATCACCAACACAACATCATGCTTGAAGGGAAGTGTGGAGGATGCAAACACTGTAGTGCTGCGCCACTGTGCACGCATGCGCAGCGCAGTACACAGGCGATGTGGTGCACGCTGCTGCGGCAGTGCTTACTGTGCTGCGCACTGTGGAGTTAGCTATGATGCGCACAGGCGTTGTGGTGCCCGAGCCACACGGTGGGTGGGTTGCCTTACGTTGTGCCCCCCCGCCATAGCGCGCGTTATGGCCGCGAGTATCAAAACGCGCTTTCGAATTGGTTGGACTACACAGCGACAGTCGTATCTCTTCAGTGGTTGCCGCTATTCGGTTGCTACTCGAGACGTCCCAAGGGCACTGTCTTTCATTGCGACGGCTCGCCGGCGTCATTATCCGATCCAGCCGATCAGCCCATTAGCCGATAAGATTCCAGCCGGCCGTCAGCGGATCGGCCGATCAGTCTGATCGGTTGATTGGCTGATCGCCTAGCTGGCGCCTGATCGGCTGATCGGCTGATCGGTTGGTTTGGGCCTGACCGGTTGCTTGGCGCCTGATCGGCTGGCTGATCTGCTAGCTGGCGCCTGACGGCTTATCGTCTGATCGGCTGGTTGGGGCCTGATCGGCTGCTGGGCGCATGATCGGCTGATCGGCTGATCGGTTGCGTGGTACCTGATCAGCTGGTTGGCGCCTGATCGGCTGATCTTTCACACTCGCCCGTTCGCGGAGCCCTAGGGGGCCTCTTGGGGCCATCGGGGCGGCCATGATCGAAAAGGGGAGGTCTTCGACTTGCATATTCCCCTTGGGCCATCAAAGTCGCCTCTTGGGGCGCTCTTGGGCCGCTCTTGGGAGCTCTCGGGGCCGCCTGTGGGGGCCTCCTGGTACTGTCTTGGGCCTCTCTTGGGCCATCTGATAACCATCTTGAGGCCTGAAAAGGGCATCGGAAGCAACATGGCGAGAAGGCAAACTTCATGGATTCCATGTGGTTGTCGAAGAGCGTCGGCCCTTCGAGGGGTCCCGAAAAAGGGGGCTCCGAGGGCACGTGGAACCGTTTTGAGGCCCTCGTCGGGCCTCTATGCAAGTAAGTCAGAAGCTGTCTTGAATCATCGTCGGCTATCTCTGCCTATCTTAGAGGCCACCTTGTAGCATCGGAGGCCATCTTGGAGCTATATATCTTGAAGCATCGTCGGCTATCTCTACCTATCTTAGAGGCCACCTTGTAGCATCGGAGGCCATCTTGGAGCTATATTGGGCCCTCTTGGGTGCTCCGACCGATCGCACCCCCCTCCCGCTCCATCACTTCAAATCAGGAGGGGGGTACATCTCCTGGGAAGGAACACATCTTGGGGAGAGGAACGAACCCACCTCATTCGACCACCTTAACTAGCCCACAGGGTGCCTGATTCAATGGCCCCCTGGCGGGGAACTTTATCCCAGATCAATTGGGCCCCTCGCAAAATATGTGTCCAAAGTGTTAGGGTTTTCAACGGAAGCAGTGTCCTGGATCAATGGGTAGATTCCACGTGTCCCATTGCGAGCCGTGTTGTTGTGTTTTGCATTCGCTGCGTTTTCGCAAGCTTACGTTTTGTGTCGAACGTATCTCGCGTCTGTTGAACAGTCAGCGTTTGAACCAAACGCACGTCGAACTGTGTTGTTGTCTTTGTCGGTAAAGGCTACGGCCCAGGTGTTCGTTTCGCTTGCGGGTCAAAGGCCCTCCACCAGCGGCGAGGCATGCAGCAGCAGGCGTCGGAACTGGACACGTAGCAATGCATGTGCGGAGGAGGCGGGGGTCTCCAGCATGAGTCCTGGCGCTCGTGCGTTCGGAACGTGTCGTCGCGTGTTTCTTGGCGCGACGGGGCCGCAGGTGAGGGGCCCAACGTTGGCCGCTGTATCCCTCCAATGTGAAAATGCGTGGGCGGAGGGAGGGGGAGGGGCCGTAGACGGGCTAACGGCGATGTAGGCAATGGCGATGTAGGTTTCGGTGTTGTGGGAACGCGTGGCCCGCGCTTTCCTACAATTCGCTGTGTCGTGTTCGCTCGATCCATTCGCAGATCGGAAAAGTAGGAGCGTCCGTCAGCCTGGCCTCGGGGGGGAGGACACGGCCCGTGCGTGCGGGGCACATGTTTGCACGTGCCCACGGCCCCCATTGGGGGACCCAACTTGGGCGCGGCCAGTTCTACACGCGGTGCATCTGAGAGTGAGGGGATGCGGAAGGAGGAACGCCGAGGAGCGAGATGATGATGGTGGTGCTGATGATGATGATGATGATGATGATGATGATGATGCTAATGCGCATTGTGACGATGATGATGCTGATGCTGATGCTGCTGCTGCTGATGATGATGATGGTGATGGCGATTGCGATGGCAATGACGAAGACGATGGTGACGATGACGACGGTGATGATGGTGTTGATGGTGATGATGGCGATGATGATGATGCTGATGATGGTGATGGTGATGGTGGCGAGGATGATGCTCATAAGGATGATGATTATGATGCTGATGATCACGATGATGATGCTGATGATGATGATGATGATGCTGATGCTGATGATGATGATGATCATGGTGATGCAGATGATGATAAAGATGCTTGTGATGCTAATTGTGGTGATGGTGAGGGTGATGGTGGTGATGATAATGATGCTGATGCTAGTGTTGATGATGTGCTTATTTACGATGATGGTGATGATGATGCAAATGCTGATCATGATGCTGAAGCTGGTGCTGACGCTGATGATGCCGTGTTGATGGTGATGCGTTTGTTGAGGCTGCTCATGATGTTGATGATGGTGATGATCATGTTGGTGTTGATTATGATGATGCTGATGTTCGGGACGATGACGACGATTACGATGACGATATTGCTGCGGCTGCTGCTATTGCTTATGGCGATGATGATGGTGACGGTGATTGTGATGGTGATGGTGATGATCATGAGGAGGAGGATGATGATGACGACGAGGAGGAGGAGGGAACGAACGAACGAGTGAACCACCACGGGCTGCCGTCTGGGCCTGCTTGTGATCTGGTGGGAGAGGGCGTTGGTTCATGAAACATGTACTGATGGAAGACAAGTTGCCGTGCATAGGAACAGCGAGATAATCATGCACAGGCGGTCCGCCACCCCCCCCCCCCTCCCCCCGTAATTAGGTGCACGCGCCTGAGCTGGGCACGGCGCCGCCGAGGTGCTTGACCGCTCGCTCTGCGCGCGCGTCGCACCCCCCCCCAAAAAAAAGCAAAACATGAGCAACGGCAGCCATGGCAGAGGAGGGAAGGAGGGGGAGCCAGTCCTGGATGTGGGCGTCGGCGTCCTGTCGTTGCATGGGATTCATGGATTGCCCTTCGAATGTCAATCGCGTGGAGATGTCTCGAGCCGTACGATCCCAGGTCAGGTCGTTTGGTTGGTTTGTTTTGGCGGTCGGTTTTGCGTTTGTTGCCGATCGGGCCAGCTCTGCCGGGGCAAATTGACCAGATCGTCTTCCCATCGTTTGCGCTGTCGACAGTGTGGCCGCTGGCCACGTTGGTTCGGGTTGGAAGATGAGCAGGATGGTGATGATGATGATGATGCTGATGATATGGAGGAGGAGGGGGAGGAGGAGGACGAGGAGGAGGAATAAGTGAAACTGGAAGAGTAGGTGGAGCAGGGGGAGGATGCGCGGGGATTTGCGACGATATGCGGCCGGTTGCGAGGAGGTGCGGCGAGGAAGTGCGAGGAGGTGCGGGAAAGTACAACAAGGTACGAGGAGAGTCGAGGAGTGCGAGGAGGTGCGAGG